AAATAAAATAGAATTCAAACTTTTTGCGTTTTTTAAGTTATATCTGTTTGCCATTCATTTTATGATGAAAAGGTTCAGAAGGACAGAAAAGTGCTTTTATGAAGAAAAATGCTACCTTCATAAACTAGGTAGAAACAAATATTAGATTATTTAAATGTTCTACCATATCTGTTTGTGGCTGCAATGTTGTAGATGCATACTCATGGCAAGCATTGCTACAGTTGAGTCAGGATTTGAATTTTAATATTGAAAATTATAGAAGAGCTGATAATAAACGGTTTTACATTTATGTAGAACCTTAGAGAAAGCTCTATTATCCACTCATCAGAATTGGTTGAAAAAAAGTGAAGAATTTGTTGAAGTTACATAAAAATAGATAGCAGTTCACACTGAGTGCAGTATAGCAATGCTGGTGGAGGGGTGAGGGAGAAACCACTCTCCCAGTTGATTTAGTTTTGGCTTCACTTTCAAAGGAGAGTGAAGAAAAAATGACATCATATCTCCATGATAACCAAGCCTGTCTTTCGATCGTCTGCCGCATCTTGACGGAGCAGGAAGAGAGGGGACGAGTGTCTTTAATAAAAAGGATTAAAGAGAGTATTATTTTTTTAAGGCCATTACTCTTTACCTCTTAAATAACTGGATGTGATTATTGAAAGGAAATTTTTAATAAACCCTCGTAAGAAAAGGTAGAAAAGCTTAAAATAAGATTATGAGAGTTGAAGTTACCACTTGAAATGCATGCAAAAGCTTGAATAGCAGGGGAGGGAAATAATTAGAGTAGAAGAACTGATGTACATTAAAATTTCTCACATTAATGTGGTGCGGGAGTTTAGATAATAGATGCAGACTCAAGTGTAGTCCTCATTACAGTTTACCAATAGTCCTTATGTTGCTTCCAAGGGCATTGTTTATAAATAATCTTAACTATCAAAAATTCATATTTTCAGGAATAAATATTTAATGATATTTCTAAAACCATTAAATAATAAGTCTTTATAAAACAATTATTTTTCAAACGTATGTCCAAAATTATTTTACAATCATAAAATAGCCTAGTATCTAACATATTTATATTCGATAATCTTCCAGTAAATGATTCTAGTTTTAAAAATCTTAACATAAGATTTTTAAATTCATAATGTTAATTACCTTTATAGAGAGAGTTAAGTTTATATATTTTAATTAATGTTTTTCCATAATTTGTTTCAAAAAATTAATTATATATATTTGGGTAAAATTTATGTAATTATAGCTTAAAAGACATGATTTAGTATAAAAAATCCATCTAAAAAAAGGATTTCTTTGTTTGCATATAATCTTTGAATCCCTTAAAAACCTCTGAATTTTTTTTAATATGTGGCTGAAAATGTTAATATTAAAATAAGTATATGTACCTATTACATTTGTTGTTAAAATATCAAAAAATCTAATACCAAGCTATAATTATTATAAGTAGAATCGTGTGTGTGTGTGCACGCGAGGGGGAGAGACTTGTATATTCATGTTCTTTAAATATAGATTTTTATTGTGTTGCTCGCCTCCTTTTCCTTGTGGTAAAAAATACATTGTTACCTTTTAACTTTTGATTATCTTGTATTCATTTTATTTCTTACAGAAAAGCTGTCAGATGTGTCATCATTTTCTGAAGGAATGGCTTCTAAATTAGCTCAGTTCTCACCTGAAGATATGGTAAATCATAATAAAAGATATTTGACTCACGTTTTCCCTAACAGCAACCGCATTGATAGCAGCAATTATAATCCTTTAGAATACTGGTGTCTTGGATGTCAATTAGGTAACTATCAGAATTTATTTTTCTGAAAACTGATTTATGTGTAATTATTTCTTTCTATCTTTGAATAATCAGAAAATTAATAAATTAGTGAGTCTATACATTTTAATATAGTTTTTTTCCTATCAGACATAATTTTTTTTTCTTTCCTTTTATTTTTATTTGAAGTTTTAATGTTGTAACAAAGTCTTCATTGTATCAAATGATTATTACTCAAATATTCCTTAGCGATTTTTAACCTTAAAAGTTTAGAATGATAACAGATTTGCAACTATTTTTAATTGAATTACTCAAAGTTGGTTAGTATTTTTGAAATTAAAAATCTTAAATTATTGCTATTAATCTGATACTGTATTTACTCAAATCTAAGCAGGAGTCTTTCCAATGTTAATGCTGCAGAAAATTGGGTGTAACTTAGAATCAAAGTAAAAAGAAATTTGTTGGATGGGGTATTTAGAGCAATATATATAAATTCATGTATTTATTTAAAAGTTTATAATACTGGATAGAATAGCTAATTAATCACTCTTATCAGTTATCGTTTTAAATTTATTTTAATATAATTAAGTTGGATATCAACAAACCATTTTACGTTATTTTTCGTTTTTCACAAAATCTTGTTGAGAAATAGGGAGCTCTATATTTGAATAAATACATTATTTTAAATATTAAATTTATTATTAACGTTTAAAAAATTTATAAAAAACCTTTTTCTAAAAAAATAGAACATATATGAATAATGTAAATGTTTAAAGCATTTATTTTTTCTCTTTAGTTGCAATGAACTATCAGACTGCTGGACTTATGATGGATTTATATCAAGGGTGGTTTCAACAAAATGGAAACTGTGGATATACTTTGAAACCATCATTTCTAAGGGACCACTTATGTTTGTATTCAGGTGGCTGTGCTAAAGATCCCCTTCCTGGTGTTGAACCAACTATTCTTAATCTTAAGGTATATTTTACGTTTAAGAATGTATAAGTAAAAACTAATGGAAAGTTTTGAATTACTTATGTGTATAATTCATAAATACAAAAAAAAACACAAATTAACTATGTTTTGAAGTGTATAATTACCCTTACATTATTGTATTCAACTTTTGATTTGTTAAAATTTGCTGTGCTAGATATCTTATATTTGAAAGAGGTTGGTAGAAAAGCATTCCACAGTAGTTAAATAAATGGTATATAATAACAAAATTTTTAAATTTATGAGTGCACATAATTTTAACTTAATTGCAAAATGTATGTAATTTTTATGGGTATTTATGTTCAATATAATAGTATTTTTTATCTCCCAACCTCAGATATATATTTTTTTAATATTTACTTTTTTGTCCTTCCTTATACTTTTTTTTTTAAATTCATCTTTTTATCTAAGTTTGCCTTTTGGAGAAAAAAATATAAAACATCCTGGACATTCATGTTTTTCTGTGAACTTTGAGGATTTGAAACTAATTGTTTAACTAATAAAAGTGAACTATTTCGTAATGCATGCTACAAGTAAATTAATGATCTTTATATTTCTTATGCTGCATTATGTAATATTTTAATCATAGAGGTTTTTATATGATTGCCATTAATAGTATATTACATAAGGATATTTTTTTAGAAAATCAAGTATTGAAAAAAATATATTTCTGGCTTCTTAACACTTTTTAGTTTTGTAATTTATTAAAAATTTTTTCAAAAATTAGATATAACTCATCAAAGTGTATTAAAAATAGTATTAAATAAAATGTATTAAAGAATTATATTGTTAAATTGCATATCCATATGCAAATAAACTCAATGAATTTTTTAAAGCTATTTATTTTGTTTCATCCATGTAAAATAGTAATTGATCTATTTGAACAAAAAAGTAAATGTTTTGATGTATTTATTTCTTAATTTCAACCTAGAGTCGATCTGTGATAGCATTTCTTATTGTTAAATCATAAATATTTAAGCCAATTTGATAGTGCACTGCTTTAATTGAATAAAAATATTTATCTTCATTTATGCTAATTTTCAGATTTTGATTTAAATAATATGACAATCTATGAACGTTTTTGTTTGAAGATTCGATTTTCTTTGCCTATTGATTGTTAAGTAATACTTTTATTCTTCGTGTTTCTTGTGGTTTCCCTCCTTCCTCTCCTAATCTTAGAATTTATAATTATTTATTTGTATGTATGTTTTTTAATTTAAATATATATATGTTTAATTTAATTTTTAGGTCCTTCTGCATTGCATGTTTCAAATCTCAAAAGTTATATTTTATTTTTAAAAGGAATTTTTTATGCTGCATGTTATTTGCTACTTATCATAATATTCATCGTATCTTCTCTCCTTATTTCAGGAAATTACTTCCTTCAATACAAAATAATACTAATAAAAAAGGAAAGAAATAGAAATTGTCTTTTAAAATTTATCAATTAATGCAGTTATATTTTTATTGTAATTTCTTTCTGTCCATGATTTTTATTTTACTTGTGCAATATATTTAAGAATTGCTATTTGATTTTTTTATTAAAAGTAAATTAATATTCTTTAGATAATTAGTGCTCAACAATTACCTCAACCTAAAGGAGCCTCTGCAAAGGCCAGCTCAATAGATCCTTATATTGTTATCCAAATATATGGAATGGGCATAGATTGTGCTGAAGCTCGTACAAGAACTCATGAAGGTTATATAGTTATTCTCTTAAATATTTCAATATTAAAAATTGTTTATTTATGAACTGTTACTAAATATGTGCCTTTTTTATATTAACTGCTTTTAGGACATTCTCCCATATTTGATGAGAGTTTTGAATTTACTGTTACTGTACCTGAGCTTGCTATGTTGAGGATAGCTGTATTAGATGATGAGTTCATTGGTGATGACTTTATTGGTCAATATACTATTCCTCTTACTTGCCTACGAGAGGTAAATATAATGTTTGCTCACATTAATTGTATATGAAGAGGTATCATAAAGTTTAAATTAACAAGTAATATAAAAAAAATTAAGTCAATTCTTACTTGGGTCAACAAAGAAAAATTTTACTGTAGTTTTATTAAATAATTACAATTAATATAAATATGTATATACATATGACAGAATCACATTACTAAATGGCAAGATAGAAAGCAATTTTCCTTTCTATGTATGGTGTTGGACTCTTATTTTTGTTTGTTACTATTTATTCTTTCATAAATCACATTCTCAGAAATTAGGCCATCCCAGGTAGGATTCAAACCTACAATCCTTGGATTAGAAGTCCAATGCACTATCCATTGCACTTTAGGGACACAACGAGCGATTTTCCTTGTTATATATGGTGTTGAACTATTATTTTTGTTTGTTACCATTTATTCATTAATTAAATTTGACTAATGAATAAATATTTGAAAAAACTGTATTATATATACATATATATATATAACATTAAGTGCCATCCACTACAAGCCTAAAAAAGTATTTGAACTTGAATGGATGAATAGAAAGTATTTTATAATGATTGAAAATTTGAACAAGATATATATATATAGGGAGATTGTAAACTAATAGTAGGAATTGAAAAAATAATTGAAATAGGGAAAAAAAATTATAATTCTTAAGACTTTTCTAGATGTTCATCATCCAAAGTTACACATTTCTCCCAGATTTTCCTTGATCTTTGGAAAGCCATCATTGTAGAACTCAGCAGATTGTGCAGAAACCACTGTTCCACCACTTGAATGATGTCATTTGTGTTGTAATGTGGTAAATTTTTAAGGTAGTAATGCTTTGATTCCTCAATTGCACTTCAACTTAATTTAGCAATTGCATTGTCACCAAAATTATGAACACCTTTGGAGATCATATTGTGCTATTTCTTGCTCATAGCATCATGTAATTTGTTCGGCAGTGTGTAGTAACATGCATTAGTGACGGTCTTCTTCAGGTATTCTGTTAAAATTACACCGCAGTTCCAAAAAACAGAACAAAAGCTTACTTGCAGACTTTTGCACCTTATTCTTCTTGGGGGTTACGTCCTTTCACCTCTAGCCTCCCCCTATTTTTGGTCTCTGAATTATATTGATAGATCTAAGATTTATAATTAGTTACAAGACAGCACAAAATTCCTCTTTATCTTACTCCAAAACATACATCTCCCTTGACAGACTGTGCCATGTTTACTTCTGAAAAAGTCAGTATTCATGTAACCCAGTGTGCTGACACCTTTAACATGTGTAGTTCTTCAGAAATAATTTTCCTTACATTCTAGTAACCAAGATTAGTCTAATTCATGATCATTTGGATAGTTGTTCTTCAATCTAATAAAATAAAACGGCACTTTCTCACAGCACCCATGAATAAGGGCCCTTTTCATTTTTTTAGATCCTGTGAAGGATTTTGGTTTTCCTCAAAACATGCTTCACAATACACTATCATTTCCATAAGGTACCGTCATTTCATCATAGCTTTGGGGGGCACAATAATCTTACAAATGAAGGAACATTATCATAATTTAAGCCTCTTTTCTTTATTTTGTCGATTACTTCCAATGGGCTCAATTCATTAAGTCACATGATAAAAACAAACACATGTTTTCCATTTAATTGAAAACAAACATTAAACTAATTGAAAGTTGTTCTATTTGAAAAAACTCAGATCAAATTTCTTTTTTAAAGTTTTTTTAAAAAATGTTGGGGAAATTTTCAAAAAAAATTTTTTAAATTAAAAAAAAACATTTAAAGTTTATATTTTTTAAAAAAATGCATTTTGTATACATAGTTTTTTTAAAAAATTTTCAAGAGCAAAACTTGGCAACACCGAGGGTTTTAACGATTAGCTGGAAACACTAGATAGTTTTATCATGTGATTTGACATCGCATAGTTTTTAATTATTGGTTTGAATCCGGTTACCATATGTGCTAGACCACATAATTAGCCCCTTGTGGTTTCTTTTAAGTTTTAAAATTGGCTAAAATAACTTTATGTTCATATATAATGATCAGTTAATATACAGATAGAATTTAATCCAAATATTTTGATTATTCCATATTAATAAAAATTTTATAATTTTTTATATACTTCTGTGTTTAATTTGTGCTTTGATTATATCCATTGATTGCTATGATGAATTATGATAATTATTAAACTCATATTGTTATGCGTAGAAGATTTACTTATATACACAACTTGTACCTATATAAATGTATCCTATGTCATCTTGTAAAATATGTTAATTTTAAACATTTGACATTTTTATATAAAAGAAATGTATTATGAATGTATTTAGGAATAATCATTTTATTGTAATCTGAATGTAATTTAAATTGCAGTTCATATTAGTCATAAATTTTGATTATATTGTTCCTGTTTATCTTGAAATTAAAAAAAATATATTAATAAATATCCACAGAAGATTTTATTTTCTAATTATTGTATTCATATCATAAAATGTGCTTATATTAAAAGGGTTAATTAAATATGATCTTAATGTAGTTTCATTTTAACCACATCAGTTAAGAGAGTGATTTACATGACACTTATTGCAACATGTTGGTCTCTGTCCTCTGATGTTTTGTTTAGTGTTTTATTTTTATTTATTTATTTATTTTCCTAATGGGGCTGTGCATTGGTATTTTAACCTTTGTAGACTTAGTACATTCCCCAGGGGCTTGAATCACTTTTTAGCACGGCACCATATAGGCGATACCAATTAGTAATTTTGATACCCAATTTCCTCCCTGGAGGGAGGCACCTGAGCTCTGATGATGCAATGTTTTATTTTTAATTACATGTATAAGATGTATAGTTAAAAATGAATCAAGTTGCATGTGTTATAGTCAAGGAAATTGAAAATTTCAGATATAAATCAAATAATCATTTACTTAAGTAATTTTAGCTTCAGGTGAGAGAAATTCTACTTCCATTCAAGTGCCTAACAACCATGTGAGAATTTTTCCCTTTCTACATTCAAAAATGAGGAAAATCAGGGAAAGATGTTATAGAAAAAGTCTAATAATATGTTCAAGTGAAAGGAAATATTAGTTATTTTTAAAAATTGTGTAAATGTTTGAGGGAAAGAAATTGCTCAATAAGGCATGTGTAAGCTATTAAAATATTCTTATTCTAAGAATCACCAATACATCTGACAAAAAATTCAAGATTTGGTCTTTTTTGACAAGGAATCGCAAATAAATTTGTCAAAAAATATATTTTAATCCTTTAATGTGAAATGAAATGAGACTTATGTTGCATTTTGACATGAGGTATTTGTAATTATGATTTAGAAAAAATATATATAAGAATAGAATTTGATGTGTAAATATTAAGCTATTACCGTAAAATTCGATGTATAATGCACAATGCCTATGCCACACACGCTCCTATACTTTCAAGCTGTAATTTTTAGTTCTTAAGTACATTTGCCATATAACATATACCTTTTTTTTTACAAAGAAAACTGAAAAGTATGTGCACAATGCTTTTATGTTTTAAAGTCTTTTATTTGAAGTATTATCCCAAGTTTGGGAAAAAAATACTACAACTCTTTAAATTCATAAGGAACTGAATTTCTTTTAAATAAACAATATTTTGGTATATGCAGAAGTCTAATTTTTTTCTAAGCTCATCTTTTTATATTTTTAAAACCCGCACATTATACACCGGATTTTAAAGTACTATCTATCTATACCTCTCTATATATAATTTATTATAATGATATTGTTAATATTTAGTGAAAAATATATAAAAATTGTAGGGTTTTTTAATTGTGCTTTAATATAGATTATGAGAACATTTTCTGGACAAGATCAAGTATAAAAATTAAACATCTTGGAATTTATACTAAAGCAATTCCTTCTTAAATTAGTATTAGCATGTAGACGAACCATTTAAATTTGTTTTTCTTGTCATCTTCTGAAGTGATACTTTTTAATGGTGTTTGGTTTAAGAATCCCATTTCTCTTAAGGATTAAGCATTCTTGATAGCAAGTCATTGTTATGTGTCCCATTCATATCACTTTCATGACTCTGAAAGTTTTCTTTGAAAATATTTTAACTTTGGAAAGATTTAAAAATCAGTTCACAATACATATAGATTGTATTTTTTATAATATTTTTATTGTTGATATCATGAATGCTTATGCCTGTATTTCAGTATTTTTTTTCACTGTTATGAACATGTTGCTTTTAAATAACACATAATTATGTATATCCATATTTATCCTTATTTATTTTAATTTACTTATTATCTCGGAATTTCTCCATTTTTTTTTAATATTTATCAGTTTTCATATATATATTTATTTTTAATATTTGATAAAATTGTTTTTAATGGAGAAATAGATAAATGTAACATTTTATTTCATATTTTTTTCACCTTATTTAATATTTTTTTCAATTTTAAGATGGGTTTAATCTAATTCATTGAAATAATAAAAGGAAATTATCACATTCAAATAGAATACATTTAATTTAGTAAAGTAATTTTTATTTCTTACTTTATTACTAATATTGTTTTTTAAAAAAACAGAATTTTTATACCCTTTTAAGTAAAAGCTATTTTAGATTAATGTGGATGTCCCCATATTTTGCAATTTGTAAATTGTCTTTGTAAAACAATCTTGTTACTACCAAGACAAATACTATAATGGAATGTGTAATTTTTCAGATCACAGTACAAGTACTTAGTACAATAGATACAATATGTTACACAGTACAACTATGTTTTGTTGAATGCCAATTTCATATAAAATCATTTCTGCAATGCACAGTTCTGGAGTGTGTTAATTATCCTGTTCTTCAAGATTTACTGTATAGCTATTGCCTATTTATTTTTGCTTTAATTTTAATTTGTTCAAAATACTGAATCTTTAAAGTCTAATAAATTTTTAAACTTAAATAAGACATTTAAATATCAATTTTCCTAATTGTCTGTAAAGAAAAGCATTTCCAATTGTTAATTCTTAGATTAACATAAAGTATTGTAATTAACTGGAGAAATTATTTAAGTTTTTTTTATTTTCCTTCCATATAAGGCTATCGGCATTTGCGGTTATTATCGAATAATGGTGATCCTTTGTACAACACTACACTTTTTGTATACGTCAATATGACAACAAGATCAGAAAAACAAGTAAGTGATGAAAAGTATATTTAATGTAATATATTTTACATACATAAATTAGATTAGGAGGGCACCAGTGTGCAAGCACTTATGCTCAGTAATATATTTTAAATATTTCTTGATTTTTTTCATATCTGTCTTTATTTGTGTATATCAGTATATTTTTGTCCTACTTTTCAAAGCAATAAC